AGCGCACGCCAGCGAGAAAAATAACCCCCCCCCCTTGCTCACCTACCCTTCGTGGAACGCTCCGAATACCACCGCGGATTCCCCGAGAGCTTTGCCTGCACGATGGGGAAGGAAGAAAGGAAAAAAAGGAGGGTCTCGAGAGCAGCGAGAGAGGAAAAACAGTGCCCTCGGCGATTTGTTCGGGTGGAAAACTGCCGGGCGATGTATATGCAAACGTCCCCGGCCGTCATCCGTAGGGCCGATATAGGGTGACAACGGGCGTGTCGCACGGCCTCTCCGACGGCGCCTCTCGAGTAGGTTATCTTCGACAGTAGGAGCGTGTATACGGGGGAGTCGACGGTACATGGCCACGCTCGTCCCACCCCCGCAACGATACCGGATCTAAGTAGGCCATGACGGGATACGGTTATGGCGGTATAAAACGCTCTCCTCGAGACGCCAAAAGTCGGGACCTGCTTTCCTTCCCTCTTTTATGACCGAAAAAACTGCCGCTATGATTGCCTATGCAAATTGTTTGAGATACCCCGCACTGCTGTATTATTATATACCTTTGCACTCCAACCCCCCCCCCCACTCACGGTGTGGTTTCGTTCCTCATCCTTTGTTGCGTGTTTGTACCAGCTCGCGTCTTACTGATTCCTTCTTACGTCTACTCGTGCCCCCTTTTGAGCTTTGAACACCTTATTTCTGTTATACATAACTATATGTGCCATTGTACCAGTGCGGGTGTTTATTTCGTAACGAGAATTAAATCAATTTACATTTTATACGTGTAGGTGTTTAAACGTAGGTAAGCTATTGGCGGCGAAAATGTACATTCGAAAGGAGGATCGATCGCCTGGAAGAGAGGGAAAAAACAAAAAAATTGATCAGATACCAGCAAAGATATAAAATAAATTTCCATCGCGGGGCAATATTCATGTATCATACGGAGCATTTTTCGTAGCGCGGCGGGAGGAGCCAAAGCCGGGATTTTAAATTATACCGGCGAGCTCAGCCGTTCTGGCGATCCGGGAATTCCAATTTTCGAAATGTCAAGCTCGTATACGTATCTGCCGCGTGTATACGAGCGCTGGCGGATGCAAATGTAATTCCTTGGAGCGTTTTCCATTGATTTAAGAAAAACGGAAAGCCAAACGGAGAAAATGCGTAATGTATGTGTACACGTTGCGATCGGGAGTTGCAAGCCAAAAGCCAACAATATATGACCCCCCCCTCCTCCGGCACGGCGAGTGAATTAAAATGGATTAAATATCACCGGGAAAATCTTCGATCTCCCCTCTCTGTGTGTGTACACCCATTGGTTTGTGTGTATATATAATACCGTTTGCTCGTTCCGCCCAGATCGGGGAGAGCGATCGCAGGCAATTTCGCGAATCGCCGAAATTCCGTGCCGGATAAATCACCCGGATCGTTATGTTTTCACGGGCGCCCCGGAAATCGAATCTTCCACTTAGTGGGTGAAGAATCGCACTCACTTTGCCCACACGCCCATACATATATATATATGTATATGTGGACCCGAGGAAAAAGTTTTCCTACCGATTTTTGTGACGATGCAGCTACGCACTTCATACACAATATTAGCGTTGTGTACACTGCATGAGAAACAATTTACTTGTCAAATGCCTTCTCGGGTAGGTGTACTTGAATATTCAAATCGGGGAAACCTCCGGGGTTTTATAAACACGAGCTGTCAAATGAGCACTGCCGGAGGGACATGACAAATGAATGAGAAACTTACGAAAAGAGAGGAGGGGAGCGGATAGGTTGAAAGTGCAAGGAAAAACTTGTTTAATAATTAAACTTTTCCATTAGACTCGTCAGCTGCTGGAGGAAAATTTTCAGCAGAACCGTCGAGTTGTAGCGTAAGAAAAAGGGGTCGGGGGGGAGGTAGGAAGATAAACAGGTTGGATGAAGTTGAGGAGCGTATAGGTGCAAAATACCAAGGAAGCCTGCTATCGCACGATGGGTACGTGTCTTCTGTCCAATTAAACTAAGCGAGGGTAGAAAGCCCTTGACGACAATGTCGTCCTTTACAAGCAACGCGTTCGGTGTGTGGGTACTTTTTTTTTCTAAAATCTAAAAATTTAATTCCTCGCGCATTTTTAACAAGTGCACTCGTTCGTATCAATCAGGATACGAAATCAGGAGCACCAAAAGGACATATCCTCGCAACGAAATCAACAAACTCGCGTCCGAAAGTCAACTCGGGAGCAAAGGGGGGTGGGGACTTTTAATTTTCAAAAATCATTCATCATCGAGGGCGCGTAGCGATAGCGTTGCTTCGTCGATTTATCGCACGCGTATATATATTTTTTATTGTTACAGCGACGAGTGCACCGCAATTTCTGCATACACGCACGTTTCGGCCGCCGCTGTGCGTAGCAGCTGCATCGGCTTGTTCAGTCCAGCGGCAATCCGCGCAACAGGAGCAAAATTTAATCAAACCGGCTTGTGCAGCAGAGAGACGGGGAGGGGAATGACAGGCCGGGGAGCAAATATGCGCCGAGATAGTGACGAGAGAGAGAGAGCATAGAAAGAAGTCGAGGGAAAAAGAGAGCCCGGGAATTCTACCTCCGTCAAATTAATTTAATTTATATCTAGCTGTCCGCTAGCGATCGGGCCTCTCCTTTCTCCGGCCCGGCTTGCCCTCCTCCTCATTCCTTCCTCGGCTCTTTCCATTTTTTTTTTTTTTTTTATTACCATCCTTTACCGGCACCGACTGCACTCTTTTTCTGCTGATACAACTATAATGTTGGATATATACTCGTTAATTGACCTATTAGACCATGACTTGTGAAAAACGCGCTCCCCCCTGCACGGATACATGATAAAACATTGCTGTTAATTTGTTTATACGTGCAGCTAACTCTTGTCCAATCAATTAGTAATTCAAAGTCCGGATGTATATACATTCGCGTTTAATTTACGATGATTTCTCAAACATCAAAGCCTCAGCTGCGCAGGAATGGAATTACGATCGTGCTTCTACAAGACGTTTTTAATCTTCTGTTTCACCTTTTTTACCCCCAAATAAGCTCGGATGAAACTAATAAAAAATCCGGCTTGCTTCGATACCCCCGTACGTGCAACACCATCGTATACGCAAACACGCGAGCTAATACAACTCATAAAATATTTATCGAGCTGTCGATACGATTCGTCAGGTCACGGTGTAAATGTAGCGTCGTGTGTGCCGCATATACCCCCCCCCCCGCATTCTCAAATTTCGGAATTATGCCTTTCTCCACGAGCCGAGCGCGCGATTCGATTACCTACCACCACCACCCATCGCTATACTGTCGCAGCTACCGAGTAACCCCCGCTGTTGTCTCTTTGTGCTCTAGCGCTTCTGCACCACCCTCAACCCTCGCAACCGATCGATCTCCGATAGTTAACCCAGAGCCGGTGCATGTATGCATTAAAGCCAAGAAGAGCCAACCACGTTGCCAACGTCATATCCAATACTGGCAGCAGCGGCAGCTATAGGAGATGAGTGGGACAGGGAGGGTGAAAGAGACGGAGAGTCGCAAAGCCACCCTCCTCGATTGGGCAGTACCTAATGGCATTAACCGAGGCTGCAATATGATTACCGTGCCCCCATCACCCTCCCTCTGGGGCCAAAAGGTAACCCGATCGCCTGCTCCGAGTTTGTTCTCGAATAATTTTTTTTTTTTTTTTTTTTTTTTTTCCATAGCTTTCCAAACTTTCAGCTCCTTTTCTCATTCATCGGATTCATGATCGTATGTGCAAACAAGAGTGTCTCTTCTTTGCTGCTTTTTTCTTGTATTTACTTGTACTATCCGTGTTCTACCTTCAACGAAAAGACAATGGGTGTTGCAGGAACTATTCGGATTACTCGTGAATAGCTGTACCGGGGTGTGCGAGGATCGTGGGGACGCTTCTTTTTCTCGAGCATTCGAAGATTTGGAGATTACGTCTTAACTTTGTGCACACGACCGAAACAAAATCTATTTCTGTTTTCTCCTTTGTCTCTCTTTTTTTACTCATGTGACATAATGACAAGGTTAAACGAGGATCTTTCAACTACAAGTGAGAGTGAAATGATCAATGTGCAATGAATGAGATATGAGTTTTATGGACAAGATGCGAGGTTGATCTTCATGATTTGCATTACAATTAGCTGTAAAACTTATATTGCAAGGCATTTTTTTTTTTTTTTTTTAATAATAATTCCAAATAATGAAGGGAGGGTGAAGAAAAAGGGTGGAAAGCAATAATCCTCGTTACTTAGCGAAAACTGTTGACGCGTCAAAGTGTGTCGGGGTGTCCATGGAGGGCAGAGAAAGAGGCGAGGACGCGTTCAATTAAAGCGCGTGAGCGAGCGCCGAGAGAGCCGCAGCAAGAAGCAACAATTTCACGCGCTGCCATCGCACTTTTTTCCCAACTCAACACTGGAATTTCACACGAGGACCGAGAGAGAGAGGCAGAGTGCTAGCGAGCGAGAAACGAACGTGCAGGCAGCTTTCGACGATCGCGGGCGAGCGACGCTTCGCGGAACGCTGATTTCGAACAAGCCATCGGCGCGTCGTCGACTCTTCTACAACACCACGAAAGACTCTCTTTTTTTTTTTTTTTCTTTCTTTTTTTTCTTTTTTTTTGGTCCATCATTTCGCTCCTATTCGTTTAGTCTTATTTTACACATCGTCGCCATCGGACCAGACGAGATACGCACGAGCGCGTCGTCGTCGCGTATAAAAACGACTTCCACGAACGACATCCTTCTCTCTCGGCTCGTCCACCGGCCCCCCTTTCCTTTTGGTCTGTTCCTCTTTTCGACGAGCCTATATTATTATATATACACCAGCTTGAACTTGAAAATCGTCGCCTCACCTACGATTGGCCCCTCATGTATAGCTTTGGCGAAAAAAAAGGAAAAAAAAAAAAAAAGAGAGAAAGAAGGAAACACCGAGCTAGTCGTAAACGTTTACAAGTGCGACTGGTGTATTTGATAAAATTTTTTGGTCATTACTTACCGTTAGGTGTTGAAACAGCCACGCCCTGAGGATGTTCGTCGCGACCTTGGGAAAGATGCCCCTCTTCTTCTGGTTCTTCTTACCCGATGCGTCGTCGTCCTCCTCGCCCGTGCCCTCGCCGCTGCCGATACTCGCGTTACTCGCGTCTCCTGAAACAATAACCATTAGCGTCTCTGGTTAAGTTAATGGACACTTTGCGCCGTCCCCCTCCTTCAGCTCCACCGCCGCAACGAGCTGCTCCCCTTTGGTGCTTGGGAAATTATTTTTAATTATATGCCGCGTCAGTTTATGCAGATTGCCTTTGTACAATTTAATTGGGACCTTTTTTTTATTTTTTCTCATCACTATTGCTCGTTACAATATCGACCAAACGAGTGATCGGTATTGTATTTTTTTTTTTTTTTTTTTTTTTAATATGATGCAAAAAAATAAATCAGTGAAATAGGGAAGAGAAATTTTTTCCTTGGTTTTCTTTTCTTTTCAGCTCACGTACTCTGCTTCCCTGGGGGTAAAAGCGCGCAGCCATCAAATAAATTACACGTCGTTTATCAATCTTAGCTTTTTAATTGCCGTGCTCGGGGAGCTTATAACCAAGACCCTCGGCAAGCTCCCGTGCCGGTAATGAGAGGTATTAAGGCGACTTTGACGCACCTATACGTGAGACAAATATTGTTCTTCTTGCCAACCTTGGAATATGAACCAACAAAATTTTTTCAAGGAATTTTTTTACCGCGTTTAGTAAATAAAGTGTAAGTTTACAAAAAATTTACTACTTGTCAACTTTGCACGTAGCACGATTGGTAAAGTATCCGAATCGTGGCCATTGGGTACATGTGCATGAAAAGATCATCTGATTCGAGAAATGTACTCTCACTGATCAATTAACGTGCTCAAGAACAGTAACGTCCTCGAATCCGACTCATATAATAATATAAGAACCATAGGTTGGTTGGTAGGCCACTTAAAAATCCTTTTGTACCCGATTTTTAACGGAATTAAACAAAAGCAAATAATAAAAGACCAAAATTCGACTTTCTTTAACTTTACATTTTTTTTTAATTTGTAATTATTCGTGATGCGATTGAATGTGGACGACGTTCACTCGTATCAGTGGTTACTAAAAAAAATGTTATCCATTTGTGGATAAAAATACTCATAATTTTGACAACGTAAGTTACATCGAAGAGCCACAGCGAGAAATCAAGTATAGGTGCACGGCTCCTGCTGCATCAGATGGCAGCTGCATTGAAAAAAAAAAAAAAGGGAGCACCAAAAAGGGTACAGAATGAAATCCTCCATATATCAGGCGTGACGATGCGAATCGACATAATAACGCAAAAGTCATCAAGATTAGGTATCGAGACGTCGCATCCCGGCGAATCCTTCGGTACGCTACATTAACCCGATTCACCCGCAGCGGCAAATTAACCGCAATCAGAGAGAAAGACGTATACACATACACACTCAAGCGTCTACGACCGACACACATACGTACCGGTCGACTAGACGAGTTGGCTTTCTTTCCCGTTTCGTGGCCATTTTGTCGTCGGGCGTATATTACGGCTGACTGCTCTATCCGTTGGTACTTGGAGTCCGAAACCCCATTACCCGCTGCGGGGGGAAGGGGATAAAGCACGAAGCTCTGCTCTCTCTCTCCGTCTTCGAGAGCTTTTTGTCTATAATGTCCAAGGAGCGCAGTTTCCTCGGGAACCTCCTCTTTTTCCCCTACTTTCTCTTTCTCCTCTCCCCTCCCCTCATTCCGATAAAAACGAAGAGTTACGCGAGCGCCGGGCTAAACTCGTGCCAGGGCGATTTAAATTTTCCTCCCTCCCGGCGAAAGCTCACCCCCTTAACTTTTTTCGAGGGGAAAAACCATTCCGGGGAATTTTCGAGATAGCCTTGTGGAAAAAACCGCCCAGTCCCCAGCGAGTTATTACGTCCAACTATACGTTGTGGTGAGGGAAAAAAAAAAAAAACAAGAGGACGTCATTAACCCGCATCGCGCGACACGGAGTTACAATTGGGTAGCGTCGAAAAACAATCTGTGCTCCGTGTTTTTCAAAGCGCGGTTGCTCTTTTGGAAAAAATATTTCGAAGCAAAACAAGAGTCAAAGTTGGGACGGAGTCGAGGAGGAAACTTTTTCCACGCGTGTTATTCTGTTTATTTTTCACGGAACGAAGCGCGTGCTTTTAATAAAAGAAGATCCCGGAGAACCGGGGGTGAGGAGATACGCGGATGTTGGGATGGGGAACAAAAAAAAGAGAGAGAAAGCAAAGAGAGGGAGGGAAAAAAAAAAATAATAATAATAAAAGATCGTCGAATAATCGGAATATTCTCGGGCGCGATCTCGGGGTATTTTTCTCTTCGGGCGCGTCGTCGAGTTCAAAGTTAATCTCGAGCGAGGGAGATCGCTTAGCATGTGAGGGAAGGGTATTGTCATCATGAATCTCCGAGGAGAAAGAGAGAGGGATCTCAAGTGAAGGACATGAGCGAAGAAAACGTGTAAGGAGGAGAAAGAAGTCGGGGGGGGGAGAGTCGTGGTTCTTTTCGCTCTTTCGGTTTTGCGATTCCCTCGGCGTGATATAGAAGGAGGCTGCTCGCCGAGCGGGACCGTGCGATGAGATTCGGTCATTTATAACTCCGCTCTCTATCAGATGAGACTCTGCCGGAGATACGAGGCGTCCACCGTTTTGCAGTCGCCCTCGGACTTCTGGATCTCTCTTTTCTTCCTTTCTCCCTCTTTGGAACCAGAATAAATATATTTTTCATTCGAATAATCAGTTTTTTTTTTTTTTTTTCTTTTTTCTCATTCGTACACGGTTACATATATACTTGTATACGAGAGAGACAAAAGACGAGATGTAAGCATAGATATTTAAGCGCAGTCTATTACACCAAGACTCGCACCCCTTCGCACAATTTCTCCGTCCCACCCCCTTGAATTACTGCACCAGCCTTGAACTCAAAGCCAAACGTAACTCTTGGGCCAAATTTAACCTTTTTCAACCAAACATCGCGACAATTCGTAAGCTTAGGGACCCATAATTTCATTGGGACTGGTGTATCCCCTCGCGGCGGGGCGTGTTATGCAAAACACGTGTCGGCTTCCTCGCCGTTCGTCATCGCGCGTGTGGATGCAGAATCACGAACGCGCAAAGGAAAAGAGTAAATATCGTAAATTCGAGAGAGAGAGAGAGAGAGAGAAAAAAGGTAGGCACAGCCCAGAGACGTAACCTCGCGCATATTTATGAATAGCAGAGGAGCGCACTCGTTGTTTCGTCTCGGCCGGGCGCAGCGTCGAGACATCTTCCTTCGAGAGATAGCAGAGAGCGTGTGTATTAGGCGCGGTAACATCTATTTGGGGTCTCGGCGTCTCTCGCTGTACCCGCTGTGTCGAAATAACCTAGCATGTGGCCGACGAAAATAAACCTTCCGATTCCCAGCTCGTCGAACGCGCTCGTTTCCTCGCGTGCCGCGAGTCGCATGGAGAAACGATACAGGAGGAAGCCACATGTACGTAGTGTCGGGGAGATTGTCGTACGGTAGCCGAAGCGAGATTTATGCGTCGGATACTTGACGAATCGGCCGCGGGGAGATACGGTAGACTTTGGCGTCATCTCCGCGGGTTATAATTCTTTGTTTGCCTCCGGAGGATTTAAAAATCGTCTCCTGGGATTTATTACCTCGAATAATGCGCTCGACGACAGCGGAAGAACGAACGGGGGACGGAACTGCAGCTTGTGGCTGCATGTACGTGGGTGAAGCGTAAATCGAGCGCAAAGCGATCTTGATGGATGAAACTCGCACATCGATGGAATAATCATCTTTTGGGTTTTGCTTGTGTTTATTTGAAGAAAAAGAAATAGATGTATATTATACTCTTAAAAAAAAAAAAAAAAAAAAAATCAAGGAGAAAGTTCTTCACCTCCTTCGATGAATCGCGTTTCGCCACCACACGGTGACATTAAACGCCTCCACTTTACGACCTTCATTACAGTCTGATGGCCCTGTATGTATATGTGCGTCCACCCAAAAAATACGAGGAATAAAGCGAGATTGCGAAATAATCTCTCTACTTTTGCCAAACCCACCGGCACAGAAAACCTCCGATGGGCCGGGAGATTCAGCTGCACTACCGGGGGGTTGGGTGGGTGGAAAAATTTAAATACCCACACAATGCAGGGGCCGATACAGTAGACCGGGGTTACGTTGAACGAGGCGGCAAAGGACCTTTGTGAGGTAAACGAAATCGTTATTTCGCGAGCGGGCAACGCGCGTATTTCACGCTTTCGTTCTTGCAACGAAAAGCCGAAATCGAAAGGGAGAGAGGCCAAAAAATCGGGGCGGACGCTTTATGGGTATTGCCGTGGGTGCGCGGCTTAACGCCCTCCTCACCCCTTCCTGTACAGACCCTTGGGTGGAAATAATATGCACCCGGCAGTCTTTCTCGCGATCGGTTGCTTAAAAAAGGTGCAAGTTGCGAGAGTATACGGACGGATACATTCTCGAGGGGGGGGAGAAGATCGAGCGAGCGTCCTCAATTCTTCGGGAGCGAGATCGCGTGCAGTATAGGCACCTTTTCCTCGGCTTAGCTTGCGATATTCTCGAGATTTCGAGAGCTGCTGCAGCTGTTGCCTCGTATACACATGCAAGGAAACATATATATATAATGGGGAGAGAGACAAGGTGAGAGAAATGCACGGCTTTTCCGGTGACTGCAGCTGATGGCTTCTCCCACCCTCCTCGTCTCTCCTTTTCTTCCTTTTTTTTTCGTCGATCCGCGGCAGGGATCCTGAACGAAAATGCTACGTTTCCTATATGTACAGGTGCGGCAAATTTTTCTTCGTGAATTTTGTCGAATTTCGATACCGTCGCTCGAGCGTTAGCGTTGCCGTGTGGAAATATTTTACTCGAAATGCAATTTCCTCAAGGATTTCCAGCAGCGAGGAGGGAGAATGGTTTAAAAAAAAAAAAAAAAAATGGTAGAAATTGGAATTGACTTTGAGTAAATAGAAGAAAACTGTTGAGAGACATATTGTTTGACGGATGAAGACCAGTTGTTTGAAAAAAAAAATAAATAAATAAATAAAAAAACCCCAATAATAGCATTTAACGAATTGGAATTAGAAAAATCAACAATCAATTAAA